TTTTTTTTTTTTTTGCGGCAGTTAGAGAACTTATCGTGCAACAAAATAAAGTGGTCAGTTTGTAAAACTTCGATTCTTGGTTTATAAAAAATTATGTTTTTTAAATAAATTGATTTTTTTTACCAAATTCTCATACCTATACCTAGGAAAAGAATTCAAAAAGCATAAAAAAATTACTGTACCTTTGATTGACTTTAAGCTTTTTAGGAAAAAAATGGAAAAAGTTAAAAAAAAAAATAATACAAATGGACTCAAAAGCAAAAAATAAAATTTTCAAAATTAAGTATCAAATCAGAATTATCAAATTATAATTTTTTTTACAGTTCACTTATATTATAATTTTTTAAACAGNCAGTATAACAGTTTCCAAACATTGTAATGATACGTTTTGAAAGCCAGCCTTTTCCTAGATACATATATGAGAAGTTGGTAAAAAAATTCAATTAATTAAAAAAAGATATAATTTTATATAAAAGAAGAATTGAAATTTTACAAACTGACGCCTTTATTTTGTTGCCCGATAAGTTCTCTCACTGCTGTTAAAAAATCATAAGATTCGAATGAATGGTTGATAAAATATTTCAAAAAGTGTAAAAGCCTGCTTAAAAGTTTGTATGCAAATAACTCGTGAAAAATAGTAAAATTGGCGCAAAACTTTGATGTCAATATTGCACAGCATGTTAACTTTCAAAATCGGTAAATGAAATATGTATAAAGAATCGAAAAGTCTACTCTGGGTGGCCCAATTGAGAAAACTTGACTCTTTGCAAAACAAATATAATAGGTAGTAATTGTATAAGAGCAGCACACGTCTCTAAAGCCAGATTTTTCCTGTTTTCCCGCCTTCGGCGCTAGAGCCGAAACGGCTTTAAAAAAAATTGGCAGTGTCTACACACATGTGCCACGGTAATTTTCACCGTGGATATACGGTAATTTTCACTATGGATATAAGGTAATTTTTACCGTGGTTACGGTAAAAGTTACTGTGACGCGTATAAGTAGACACTCGCTAAAAAAATGTTATTATCCAGTCTCTGTCTTAATTCTTGGCAAAATTTAACATCATATTGTAAAGCATTTAATTTAAAATTTTTAATTTCGGTTTTATGATATTATGATGTCTCGGCATCTGATCCACTAAAATATCTATAACGAATATATGATTATTTAAATCTAAAGTATATATTAAATGAGATTCAATTTTTAATTGCGCACTTAACTTAAGCAAAAATAGTGCCGAAAATCAATCGATTGTGCTTAAGGTGCGGGCTGCTTCCGAAATGGCTGAAAATTGCACAATGCACACTTATTTTCCATCACTGATTCATATTCTAAATCTTAAGTGTAATTGTTTTTATGGAGGTATAGTTTTAGCAGGGCCAAATTATTCTTTATGTGTGAAACAGTTTGAGTAATTGAAATACCAAAAAAAAATTTTGTTTTCTAAAACAAGTTCTTTAAACTGTTTTCTTATACTCAAAACTGCACTTAACGATATGCTAACACATTTTACGATATTTCAGCCCATTACTGAACCGGAACAGTTAAGGAAGCTCTTTATCGGTGGTTTAGACTACCGCACTACTGACGATGGCTTGAAAGCTCACTTTGAAAAATGGGGTAACATCGTCGACGTGGTTGTAATGAAGGATCCCAAGACAAAGCGTTCACGAGGTTTTGGTTTTATTACCTACTCTCAGTCTTATATGATTGACAATGCCCAAAACGCACGCCCTCATAAAATCGATGGGCGTACAGTAGAACCCAAGCGGGCCGTACCACGCCAAGAAATTGACAGCCCAAATGCAGGCGCCACTGTTAAGAAATTATTCGTTGGCGGTCTTCGCGACGATCATGACGAGGAATGTTTACGCGAATATTTCAAGTCATATGGTAACATTGTTGGAATAAACATAGTTGCAGACAAAGAAACTGGGAAGAAACGTGGATTCGCATTCATCGAATTTGATGATTATGACCCTGTCGACAAAATTATTTTGCAAAAAAATCATACCATAAAAAATAAGGTCCTTGATGTCAAGAAAGCCATTGCTAAACAGGCATGTTTTGAAATTAACGTTTTTAGGGAATTTAATTTAACAAAATATTCTTCCAAAATAGGATATGGATCGCCAAGGTGGTGGTGGCGGCGGAGGTGGTGGCAGCGGTGGTGGTGGTAGTGGTGGTGGACGTGCCCAAGGCGGCCGTGGTGGCGGACGTGGTGGAGAACGTAGTAGTCAAGGATGGGGAGGAAACAACAGACAGAATGGAGGAAATTGGGGCGGAAGTGGTTTTGGAAACAATGGGAACTTTGGTGGAAACCAAGGGGGTCCCGGTGGTGGTCCAGGCGGTTGGAATAATCAGCCGGCACCTTGGAACAACCCAGCTACAAATGATGGCGGGTGGAATAATAGTGGCGGATTTGGTGGGCCGGCTAATACCTCCAATAATGGATGGAGTAGCAACAATAGTAGTTTTGGTAGTGATTACCAACAGGGTTACGGTGGAGGACCCCAGAGGGGGGGTAATAATTTTGGAAATACCGCGCCGCTCCTTACAATCAATACAACAAAGGTAAAAACCTATATTAAATAACTTGAAAAAGTAAATAGCTGTAAAAATGTTGGTTAAAGGTGGCAATACTGGTGGTGGCCAAGGCGGTGGTTTTGGCGGTAATACTACAATAGCGGTGGTGGCCCGGGAGGCGGCAACATGGGCGGCGGAAACCGAAGATATTAAACTTGGAGGTAAGGAATTATTGCATTGTAGTATTGCATTTCAGTTATCCTTACAGTAGCGGTTTCATTCGTATATAAAGCTTTATAACGTATTATTTCCCAAGTTGCAAATTATGTTTAAAATCTTTTTCGTTTAAAAAAGTGGCAAAATATTGCTACGTGACTATAGTAATAAGTACATACTAAACCAATTTAATTAAACCAATTTTTCTTTCTTAAACATAGGTAAAGTACATAGTACTATACAGTTTCAATCAGAGAAAGACAGGCAGTCTAGGCACAGGCAGGCAGGCAGAAAGAGAATTGAAATCAGATGAAATAAATATTGCAGACAACTGCAGTTCAACCGCTAAACTATCTACATTTGTATAGGCAAATAAGGAAATTTATACAGATAAAAAATTTATTTCACATTCACACGAGTACGAAGGAAACAGAATACATAACCGAATCTTGTAGTGAACGTATTTTTAATGTAATCCACTACATAAACCAAAACATGCTATAGAATATCCACAAAGGAAAGAAGTATGCGAACAATGCATACATTTGATAATTTTACATGTTCTGTGTATTTAAAAACACCTGTCTTATCTTTCGGGTCTTTAATTTAATTTTACTTGTAAGACATTTATAAGTTTTCATACAAGCATTTAATAATTAAAAGTATTAAAAATAATACAGAGCAACTTTGAGCCAATTTAGACAAAAATAAAAATGATGGAAAACTAGACCTACTTGACAAACAAAATGAGTTACCCCAATAAATCTAGTTATAGTTTTAAATTATAAACAAAAATAAATTATGTAAGCGTGAAATCAAGAAATACTTCTATTCAAAAAAAATTAAATTGTATTATCACAGATTCTCTAAATAGGGGTGCGTTCAGAAGTGCATCATGCCAAAGCATCAGTATCTTTTATTTCTAAACTATTATTGATGCAAATGTCTTATTTACGCAATTAAGTTCAAATTCAGCTTTTAAACGTGGTTGCGCATATTTGACATTTCCATAAGTTATAGTTTAGAAATAACACGAGACTGATGCTTTGGCTTGATGCATTTCTGAACGCACCCTAGAAATTGTCAATACTACAATCCCCTCGAGTGAGTGAACATCAAAAAACGACGTTTTTTCTAAGATAGCGCAGTGACAACAAGCTATACTGNAATTAAGTTCAAATTCAGCTTTTAAACGTGGTTGCGCATATTTGACATTTCCATAAGTTATAGTTTAGAAATAACACGAGACTGATGCTTTGGCTTGATGCATTTCTGAACGCACCCTAGAAATTGTCAATACTACAATCCCCTCGAGTGAGTGAACATCAAAAAACGACGTTTTTTCTAAGATAGCGCAGTGACAACAAGCTATACTGCATACTCTAATCAATGATTAAAACAACAATGATTACAAAAGGGCTTTTAATAAACTTAGCTTGAGTTGAAGCACCTTATTAAATTTGCAACAAGTACCCTAGAAAAACGCTTACAAGAGTTACTAATTATTATATACATATTTTTTACAAGACTTGATGTGCAAAGTGTGCACTAAACTACCTTATCTGAACTTTGTCAAAATGGGGACAAATCGGAAATCTGGCTCTTTTGGAGGACACCGCATTCCGTTCTACATGTTAACGTGACTGCTGGAGTTGGCACTAATAACAGGTAGGTTGATTAAAAAATTGAATTCCTATGAAGTTGCTTAAATAAAAAACTAAATAAAATTTGCTCGTGTTTTATCTTTTAAATACGTCTAAATAGCGCCAGGGTAAATAACTAAGATGAAAAATATATGTATCGGTCATTCCACTTCTTGGAATTGGGTGGAATCTTATAGGGAATTTGCATGAGGCGGTTTTTAGTTGAAAGCAACAATTGCCTGGTGTAAACGGCCTTTCAACTAATCGCTTTCAATGAAGTTGGTCGGCTGCCTACTTTCGTTCAACTTTTGGTTCAACTAATCGTCTGTGAAAGTTGAATCGTGCAAATTCCCTAATACAAACGTACTGCAGAAGGATGGCTCGGTTTTCATGAATAGATAGAGTTTTCTGAACATATTTATGAGTCGATTACCGATAGCAATCGAACTTCAGTGGCGTTGCTAGATGCCAAAACGATATTACAGATGGCAACTGACAACTGGGAATGTTTTTGGAACGTATTTAGGAGCGAAAATTGAAGTGTTGTTGTTGTTGTTGTAACAGCACGTAGTCCCCGAATTGGTTGGTAG